TGTGTGTGTGTGTGTGTGTGTGTGTGTGTGTGTGTGTGTGTGTGTGTTTCACAGCTTCTGTGTACTAATGAGTTTGGCTTATTCATATCTTCAGCTCACTCATGGGCCCTCTTCTCTCTACCTCAAGACATTTTAACTTCTGTGCTTACTATAGTAAGGGCATCTTTCCAGTTCAAATTTTTGAAAGTGAGAATCTCACAGGTTGAAAATATCTCTGCTCATAACTCTTTGGGCTGTTACTCTTCAGAGGTGACAAAGGGCAGGATTATCAGGCAGAAAATGTCTCTGTGGGACTGTCCCTTTTGCGGAAGGTCAATCTACATAATGGGAGATGTGGACACACAGAATTTTGTCTTTGATGGTATATTTACATCTTGTTTTTATTTAGAAAAAAAAATACCCCTGAATCATGCTCGAATACAAAACTGAAAACATCTGACAGACATAAGTGATTTCAGAAGGTCCATTTTTTAAGTGCTGACAAATTTACCAAAGAAGAATGATAAACAAAAGCCTTCAGAATATTGAGTGGTTGTATTTATGGTCAGGTTTACCAGAAAGAACTAGTAACATAATACTGGGATTATTAATCTGTCCCCAGAAATTATACTTGTGGTATACTTTATTGGTATACTTTATTGGATGAATTTTTTTCTATACATGTTAATATCTAAAAATGATAAAGAACAAATCCTAATAAAGTATAATGATAAACTCCCTGAGCTCCATAAGTAAGTTATTAATAATAGGCCCATTGTTAAGTCTCTGGAGAAGAAGTCAGGTAATTAATTATAAAATAAAAATACTCATCTATTAATAAGGAAGGCAAATTCATACCTTAAAGCTATAATTTGATAGAATCCCTTTTTATTAAAAAAATAGGAATACATTAGAATTTATGGGTAATACATTTTGCTGCTTCTTTCCAATCCTTCATTTGGTATTTTTGTATTTCACTTCTCAAGTCTCAGATAGTTTTAGATCTTCGTCTGGATTGGAGATCAAGGACATTTCTTTGCAGAGTTGCATCCTTTTTAGATACATATTCAAAGGCTATTACAGAATGCCTAAATGGCAATTTATGGATAGAATTATAAGCAATAGAGAGGTCAAAGGAATGCTTAAGAATTTCAAATGACTGATTTAACAATTATATTTTGAGTGGGAAAAGACCTTACTCCAGCTTTCCACTTGGTGAGGAATCTCTTCCTCACCATCTGACAGACAATTGGGGTAGGTGAGTCCCTGATCTTTGGAGATACTATTATTATAAACTTAAATTACAGTTTGAAGATTTCTGATTACAGAGTCTGTAAGAGATTTGCCATTACTTTATTAAATTTTCTCTCATATTATGAGGTAAATCATTGGGTTGTTTTTTTTTTTCAAATTTCCTATGAGAATTTGACGAATACAGTAAAAAGTTAGGCATTCTGTCCAGATGCTTTTGCATGTGACCTTCCCCTAGGTCAGCTAGGGAACAAAAATATCTGCTAAAAACAAGGAAACAAACATCTCTGTCTTTAATGATCCCTTGTAGCCCAGTAGTAGAAGTTATTCATTCACAAACATTTACTGAATATCTATTATTTGTCCAGGTGTTTTCCTTTGTGTTAGGAATGTAATGTTAAAGACAGACAAGAGACTTTTTCTCCTAGACTTTCCATGCTAGACACTGGCTGCCAAAATTGGCAAACATTTAAAGAGAGGAAGGATAAAGTCTCTTTGTATGAATTCCTGAAGGAATGTTTATTTTTCCAAAATGTCTGAAGAAAATACACTGTTCTTCTGCTGTTGAGAACAGTATCAGGAAAAGCATGCCAAAATTGCTGGGAAAGTACTAGTGTATCCCAGCCCTAAAACTGTCCTCTGCTCTAGTCTATGCTCCTGGGAGGCTCTACATCACTTTGTTAATTTCCTTTTGGCAGTCATTGCATATCACTGTTTCTATTTGCCATTTACAGGATCTCAGTATAATTTAAGGGACAGAAATGAGAAATTCAAGGACACAGAAATGAATATTTTCACAATCTGCTACAGGCTGGTAGCCAATCAGGGCAGAAAGAAAATCGGAAATACTATTTCTGACCTCTGTAGAAATCATTTCTAACGTCCCCTCTTGTTGAATCATCTTGCTCCCTCTAGGTTACCCTTTTGATACTGTCTTCTGCTTTTGACAGATTGATTATCCAACAGATATTTGTTTAATGGAATATTTTTATTGTGTTGGTTCAAATCAAATCACACTTGTTGTTTTGTTTTTGTATTACATGAGACTGTTAAGATGGGTACAGCTTTCAAGGCTGTGGTCATAGGGCTTTTTTTTTTCTTCAGTCAAGCAAATTGAATGTCAACAATGTATGTGAAAGTATAAACAATTCAATGAAGTTTTTAAATGGTGAACTCAACTGTTGCATTATCCTGTGGGAGACTTGAGACAATCAAAATGTTTTGCAGTATGTTCCCCTCCCATTCTGAAGATAATTTTTTCACATTTTAAGATTTACAGTCTGGGTTTCCCCTGCCACTGTCTGCTGGATAATCTATGAGTGCTACATAGTTGCTGAAAAGCCACAAATGAATGTCATTGTCTTTTCAGAGACTTTGTGGGCACATCTTCAAGTATGTTATCCCTTCAAATCACACACTTCCTTGGAATCATGTTGTTAGATGTCAAACTTCAAATGAAGGGTAAATATTTCCATAAACATAACACCCCTCATATATTAAAAAATACTCTAAAATTTTCTTGTTGTTCCCTCAATATACTTTATAGTGATGCAAACCTTTATCTGTATCTCCAACTTACAGAAGAGCTTTTTTATGGGATAAAGATGGATTTTTTTTTTAAGTGTAAAATTTATTCCCAAAAATACATGCTGGTAGATATAAATTAGTATTTCAGTATCTTAAAATGCCATTAGGTTAATAAAGATATTTTTCAGTTAAAAATTATTCATTTGCATTCAGCTCACTTTTCCTTCAAATCTCCATTGTCTTGTATAGATCTCTTAATATCATATAGTTGAAAACGTAAGCATCTGATAACATTTCAAGTCTTAGTCACAATAAGAAGGAACAATTGCCACATTCGTGAACTGAGATTCAGTCCAACTAATGGTACCATGAAACTCACAACATTTAAACATTTTGTTTTCCTTATGTGATATGTATATATTATATAGGCATACACAAATGCACATGCACACATATATACAAAGTTTTTGACAAAATTGAACAAATATGTATGTGCATATAGATATGCACATATATATATAAGCCTATGTATGCACGTGTGTCTGTGAACTTTGTTGGCAAAACTGAACAAATTTTTTTAATCAAAGCAAATAATAGTGAATCAATCAAATGCTTGTTGTTTGATGACCATAAGCATTTTGTAGAAATGGTGATAATTGTACTTTTTTACAGATACCATATATCAGGTGTTAGCCAAGATATTGTGAGGGAGTAGTTGTATTTTATTCACTGTAAGTTTTCATACCTGCCTGCCATAAATAAATAGACAATAAATATTTGTAATTTTAATAAGTATCTAATAGTATTTGTTTATAATTTATATAAAATATATATGTGTATATATATGTACTTATATGTGAATATGTAATATCCAAAATTCTCACAAAAATTAAGAAAAACAAGGGTGAGAGAGAGAAATAGTCAAGATGTATAGAAATAGCCAGTTATAATTTCTGCATATATAACTTCATTTCATTTTTTATAACACTGTAAGATAGGCAGAGAGATACTAACAATAAATAAGTAACTATTCTAAGGACACATAGCTGGTAAATTTCTGAATAGTACTGAAATCCAGGACTTTTTATTCATTCATTCAACAAATACATATTGGCTTCCTATGATGAGGCACACGCTGTCCTAAGTTCTTGGACTACATCGATGGACAAAGAGACAGAAATCTTAACCTCCCAAATTTTACTTTCAGCCTGGTGTCCTTTCTTTATACTATTCTATTACTCAAAAGTTAAATACAGAAATTTTTTAAAAAGTTTATTCCTAGATCCTCATACTTTACTTTTATTTTCAAAGATTCCATTCTGAATTCTTTTAATTTGGGGATTTAGAGTCTCAAACTTCGTTTCCGATGAATGGCTAAGCTTATTACTATATGAGTATAAATAAATATTCTAAATGCACAGAATATAAAACTTGTATTATCTTATGCATGTACATAGGAACTCATTTAGATTTACAACTTATCCTCATTAATAGCATCCAATGTTGAATTTCATGCTTATGAGAAAAAATTTAAAAAGTCTCTATTTCTCTCCACAGATAAAATAAATGACGATCTTACATATAACAATCTTGTCTGTATAAATGGGATTCAGATAAAAATAAGCACATTTTGATGCTTGTACTGAAAACAAGTACATCTTTGTAAAATCTGTCACTTCTCTCTGTGTATCTTTAGAAACTTCCACCAGTGCCTAGGCCATAGTGGGCACAATATTTGTTAAATGCGTGATTGCATAATTAATTTAAAACATTATTTTCAACTTGAACCTTTGCTTGCTTAAGTTGTTGACTTATTCATCAAGGTCATTTATTTATACCAATAAAACACAAGTTTACAAAAGCTCTACACCTTAAATTTTACAGCAAAGACTGGGCAAAGTAGTAATATCACGTGCTGAAACTTGTAATTCAGGTATAGGGTTTTTTTTAAATTATTAAGCTATTATTGCATTAGGGAAATATATATAGTTTCAGTTAACTAAATATAATCCCATAAAATCATTAAATCATTAGAATATTAGTAAAATCTGCAAAAACACATTTATATTATTAAAGGAAGATAGAATTACTAAATAACTGCAGTAAACAAAAAGCAGGCTATAAGATCTTATGTATCACACTATATACATGCTAATATCAAATGTATATTTAATGTATGTTTAAAAACAAAACTAGATCTATGTATAACAAATAAGAATTTAAAAATGCAGAATTAATAAAATGCTTATATTTTGGTGTGGAAAAATAGATGTTACTTGTTCATACTCTAGAATACATGATTTTTAAATAGTATTTTTACCCCTAGGACGGAAAATACTCAACTTTTCTACATTCATCTTTACGCCAAGTTTGGAATTACAACTCTTAGTTTGAATGAGCTCTTAAGACAGTTTTTATTTTAACAACTTCAGATTTTTTCACGATATTAAGAGATAGAGTGTGCTTCCCTCCATTTTGCCAACTTCCGAGGCTTGCCTGGAACTTGATTACATGTTCTCTAAGGTGTTTATTTTATACCATAACTGTAGAGTCCTTACCAGCTACTGGTCGGGGTTTTTTACTAAGACATCTGGGACTGTCCTCAGGATTCCCATCATCCCCTCGGAAAACCCATGCTGCTGAATGGAAATTCTCTGTGTAGAATCCTTTCTCTTCGAGGTCAACTCGAAAGCCAAGATCCACAGAACAGCCATCTTCTGAGGTGACTGAGGAGCAGAAAGGGCGATAATGTGAATTACCCTCTGGCAGGAAGGGACATGTGCACACGTTGATGGCCAAGGTGGGAAAGCAGTCGAACACATGTAGAGGCAGAGTCTTTATTTAAAGGCAGAGTACCATCCTTGAAAGCGAGGAGCTAACTTCATTAGACTATTCTCTTAGGAGGAACTTAGATCGACTTAAAACGTCCCAGATAAAAATAGACATTGCTCGAGGGCCTATACCATGGAGGTCAGCACACCAGAGATAGCACTGTGAATCTTTTTGTTGAGGAAAAATGTAGAGAATATAACTGGTTTTGAGACTTACATATTAATATTTGGGGGTCAAGAGGAAGCTACATAAGACTGAGAATGAGAATTGGTTTCAAAATTCCAAGCACAAGGGGCTATTGTCTTTCTGTCACTGCAAAACATTCCTAAAAACAAAGAAGACACTGCAAAAACATTCCTAAAAAAACTCACTATGGTCTTACATGTAGAATAAAGCATATGGGGAGGCAGGTAAAGTTTCATTTGACAGTTTCATTCATAGCAATTTAGGGTTTCTATGTATTTGGAAGTCCTTGGCTAGTGTAGAATGCTGTGCTAATTAAGACAATAACATTGATTTTTTTTTTTTGTATTAGCTTCCAAGTGTTTCTTTGTGGCCTCATTTAGATAGTCCAGACCCGAATTCAGTCATGCCCCAAGTCTTTCAGTCTTTCAAGTGTGCAGAAATAAGTATCATTTCAGAACCAAAATATAATTTCAAGAACAGCCTAAATCCATTACTTATATTTCTCAACTGTCATGAAGATGGGGGATTTAAAGATCACAGCATGCTTCTTAAATTGCAACAGAACACCTCTCTTCCAATTTCTTCTCATATACCCCACACAGCTGCTCCTATTTATTTCTCTCAAAAATTAGAGGTAAAACCCCTTCCTTCCTCTCCTCACCCTGTCTAGCGGTGACCAGCTGGATTTCTGCTGAAGGTCAGTTATATAAGGTTCCCAAGAAGAAGGGCTCTTCTGCTCTCACTGACTTACTCTGAACAATCATTCCTAATAGTTCTTGTCCTTGGCCCTACATTTTCCATCTGCTCTCCCAGTACCGAAGACTGTAAACGTTAGTTATTGTCCTGGTACACAGACCAAGTCACCGATAGCTCCTACATTTGTTTAAATTGTGTAGAAATGGTCACAGGTGGTATGTTGACAAAGCATGCAACAGCATGGTCTCTGGCAGACAGTCAAGAACAAACTCCAATATCTTTAAAAATTTTTATTATTTAAGTATAGTTGAGGTACAATGTCACATAAGCTGAACCCCAATATCTTTAATGCTTGTTCTTGTAGTTTTTATTTTGTACAGCAAATGAGATATCATTAGACACTTATCCGCAGTTTAAATGTCTTCACGTAGATTTGTTTTTTATTCATTTATTAAGGTGAATTAAAATAATTGTTCTGTCACGAGCAAGGAGCAGTTTTAGGCGCACTGGGGATAGAAAGATAAGAGATGGAACTCATGATGAAGTAAGAGAATTCAGAGGAAGGAGAGAGCAGTTTTGGATGCAGAGAAGGGTAGGATTGAAGAAGATCTCAAGGACTGGGCAAAATTTCTCTAAGAAGATGGGATTGTGGATTGGTAAATAAAGATGATAAGAACCAGTGGAGTGCAGTGAGGAAGTAGGGACTGAAAAGAGACCACATTGATTGAATAAATACAGTTTTAGTGTGTAATAATAAAGGGGATGATAGAGTACTGTAAAATGATAAAGTAGGAAAGTAAATTTTATGAGAATGTTATCAGAACATGTTCTTGTTTACTGAAATAAAAATGATGAAAACTTTAGAATACTTTTACTCTGTATAGGGGACGCCTTCTTTCATGCATCATATTTCAAAATTATGTTTTTTTGCCTTCATTTTTTAAAATAAGTCTGAGTATGACATTTGACTTAAAAGGGTAGGAAAAGTAAACCAAAGAAATTATAACAATTTATCTTTCCAAACTTCAAGCCTAATTCAAGGCTGCTTCCTACATAGTACTTGATAAAGTTATAGGAGCCCTAATGGATTTTAAAGTATTAAAGCATCTTTCCTTATTCGATTTGTATCTTATATCCTTGGCCTTAAATATTCAGTTATATTTTAATAGTTATGAGTATAATATACACAGATTCCTGGGACCATGGGTTCCTCTTTATCATTATTATCATTACCTAAAGGGTAGGTAGGTCTTTTTTTTTTTTTTTTTTGGTAGGTCTTTAAATTATAGTGACTTTTGTTTTTATCAGCATGCAAGAGACTGTTAAAACAGCTCATTTATTTACAAATAGACTCGATTATGTGAATGAGCAGTTTTCTATTCATTCAACTACGAAGACAGAGCTAATCAACATACACTTACATAACTGAGACCTAAAATTCATGATAAAATCCAATGAAGCAGCAGGCCACACCTGCGGCAGCTTCGAGCTTCTAGATTTCTCAACAATTGCCCCTGTGGAACTTTGAGCCAAGGAGAAAAAAAATCCAAATGTACCTTTGTCACTAAAACTTTATCTCCAAAATTTGGCTTGTGGAGATGAGCCTTTTAATAAAAGAAAGTTTAAAAGAGAATGAGCTCTTAAATATGCTTCATAGTACTGAAATGGGATTTGTACTCCTTTGCTCCTGAAAAACTAAAACACTTCTTTTTTCACTTGAGAAGCAAAGAGATAAAATACTCGACTCAGTTCCAGATGTCTTTAGACATTCTCATATCTCTTTCATTCCACTGTTTTATTTGAGGATAACAGAAAAGCTGTATCACAAGAATGAAACCCTGTTTGGACTTTCCCAGAGATGAACCCGGATCAGATCTGCATGGTCCAACTAGAGGTAGTGGGCTGTGTTTAAGGCATTAGCCCCACTGATCATTGTAGCTGAGTGACACTGCACAAGTCACTTATCCTCTGCATGACTCAGATTGCTCATTTGGTAAAGTGAAGATGAAAATATAGTTCTTAACTTACAGTGTTGTTGGAATAATTAATAGATGAATATTTAGTACAGGCTGACATAGAAAGCACAATGTAATTGTTAGCTCTTATTACCAGAAATCAGAGGTCTCTCTTTCTCTCTTACTGTTCACCCCCTCCTTCCTTTCTTATTTCCATGGAAACTAATGTTTGGAAAATACATTTTCATAATAATTTTTGTAGCTGGATGAAATAAGGGAAATGCTATCAAGTATCCTCACACAGACCCAAATACTTGCCACATCTGTTTGTCATACAGGAGCCATTTGAGATTATAAAAATCAGAGCTCCATTTTGCAGGCCCTTCTGACTTTAGTTTACGGCCTTCAAGTTATTTACCTGGTGTGCCTTAGTCAGCATTCCCCACAGCCTAGATGCATTGATCAACTGTGTCCACATACATAAATATGTCATTCCTAATGTCTTTTCCAGTTATTATGTAGGAAGTCAGAGATGAGTGAGATTAACAGACTGAGAAACACCAGCTGTAATGATGCTCGATAAAGCTGTCAGTTTTTAAGTCATGGATTAGTAGCATATCCTGACTCTATAAATGAGATAGAATTTAAACCACACATTAAACAATGTTAGCTCCAGCAACTCTGAGTGAATTCCAGTCTCTTTTGAAAAGTTTCTGAAGAAATACAACATGAGTGGGTATGGCTTGGATAAACTGAGAAATAAAATGGCAGACACTTCCATTCCCTCATGTCTAATGTGAAACAAATTGTTAGTGTACGTTTTCATTCAAAACAGAATTCACCTCAAAGAAAACGTAATCATTGTTTTAATTTAAATGATTGTGCTACTTTGGCCTGCATTTGAACGTGTATAAATGATACGGCTGATTCCTGTGTTGTGTCATGTGGGTACTGGTAAATGTTTAACAAGCAGCTCTCCAAAAGAAAAAAATGCCCTGATTTGTACTGTTTGTCAGTTTCCATTGCATAAATACTCACTCTGACCAATTTCAATTTACTAGCCTGACGTTACTGAATTGCAATGTTAGGAAAAAATGTGCACGGTTGGCTCTCATGAACCACTGTGAGCTGATTCCAGCACACCTATGGTGGTTTCTTTTTCCCAAGAAATGCAGAGCAGATATGAATGTCTAATAGCACTAGTCCACTAGTAGTGGACAATTTGTCCTAAAACAAAGGATGAAACAGACTTGGACTGAAAGGGTCCAGGGAGCTGAAGGACACAGGAAACAGGAAGGAACTGGTCTTTCTATATGAAAAGGAACTGAAAACTAGGGAAAATGGTCCCTTTCTCTATGGCACATAAAGATCATCTGTGATTAATCAAACAGAGTTTCCATTCAGTCTAATTTTTTTAGTTGAGATCAATCTAGATCGTTCTAGGTAATGGTAGGAGCTACTGTGATAAGTAATAAATTTTTATTACTACATGTAACATTTTATTGTTTTCCTCATTTATAACTAAACTGTTCTTATCTCAGGTTCTTCTTTCTTAGCTTTTAGGATGGATAGATTCAGATTATCATAGTGTTAGTGGATTGTTGAATATCTTGATAATTTTGGTTGCATGGGTATAGAGGTAAAAGCTGCCGTTGAATTTTCTGCAGTATAAAACAGAGGAGTTCCCGAGGTCCAAGGGAAAATCCAGAATGATGGAAACAACACAGTCACTATGGGTATTCTATGAGGGAAGCTGTGCTATAAAAGGGGCTCCATGGATGACTATGAGGCAGCACAGGGGTCTTCGAAGTAGAATGGTATCTACAGGAGATTTCAAGTTGTTTTCTAGGGAGTATGTAATATAAGACCTCCCCTCTGTGTCCCCTTTGATGTCTTCAGAAGGTTCTCTTCCTCATTTTCGCTTAATGTGAGTATATTCTTTGGGGTCACCTGGATGAGTGGAGCCAGGGGCAGTTGTATCTGCATAACCCAAGATTTTTATTCTTAGGTGAAAAGAAATAAAATTTTCAAAGACTGCAAATTTATCAAACAAGAGGCAAAGAAAAACAAGAATGACAGTCCAAGAATATTGCTATCTAGGAAATCCAGTAAAATTTTAGTGAAATTCCGGCTATTTATTCCTCTCAAGACTAGGGATGACTCTAGGACATGGAGAACAAAACCTCTTTCCTCTTTGACAGCTTGAACACTGAAGACCAAAGCCACCGAATCCTGCACACCTAATTGTCTAAATTAACATGACCTTATTCCATAGTATTTAACAGTTTTTTTTCCCCTTAGACACTTGACCAGGAAGATACTTTCACTGTTCCTCATAGGAACTTCTCCACAAACCATCAACTCTTGAGTAGAAAGCACCAACAGATAGTTTTCTTCCTCACTCTCTTCAGAACTTTCAAAATCCTCAGATTGCCATTTCCTGAAGTTCTAACCTGTTAACTCATGATCCTTACCCTGTCCTAATCAAGCTCTTAAACTGAAAGACCTACTGTAAACTAAATTTGTAATTGTCAGTAAAATCAGACTTTGTTTCCCCCCCCCCTCTAAATTAGCACCAAAGCTCTTTCTAGGGGGGTGTCCTTCTTTATATCTATGAGCAATAAACAGTTATCAATATGTAGTGTTGGTGACATTTTATCATTGCTCTAATATGAGAAGAGAGCACTGGTGTGTCATAAGGTTATGGTATGAAAGAGATTGTACACTCAAATGAGTAATTTGAGGAGAGTTTAACCCTGCGCACAAACTGGACAGGACTTAAGGAAATTGGGGGTGATAGAGTGAGATTAAGACCAGTCCATCTAAGACTAAAATAAAAGAGGGAGGAAGCAGGTACCAGTTACCAAAACCTAGAGCCATAGAAGGCAGTGGAGAGAGGGCTACTTTATAGGGTTACCACCTATGGCTTTAGGGAGACAACCAGTCCTTGGCCTACCCCAGGGAGAAATCTGGGGCAATAATGGCTGGACCTCACTCTGCTCGTTCCCTTCAGGCTCCTGCTGATCTTCCCAATTGGTCAAACCCCACAAAAAGCCAAAGTGCAAATTAGCCCTTTGATATAGTCCATATAGAGGTGAGACACCTACGGCAGAGTGTAAGTTGGAGAACAGTAGAAAAGGAAGCTAGAAGGGCAAATGGAAGCTATTTGTAGATGTGGGCTCAAGATAGAGGAGCAAGAAAAACACAGTCTCCCGTTCTGAGAAGCATGCTAGAAAACATACATGGATAAGTCCTAATTCTTGCAGGCTATTTTATGAAAAGTGTGATAAATTCAATTATACATATGTAGAAGCAAGGTTTGCAACTGAATTTTGCTGCATAATAAAAGCATTTCTAAGTTCAGAGGAAAAACAGGAAGGAGATAGAGGGAAGGCGTGTGGGTGTAGCACAGTATGTGTTTTAAGACCTGTGGAAGTGTTTGAAAGAAGGAAGGGTATTAGTACACCAGTAGCTGGGAAATACCTGAAATCCAGGATCAACCTATAAGCCATGAAATGAAATCATAGCAGACAATATACTTAAGAAAAAATTTTCCTATTGAAATATATCTGACATAGAATACTGTATAAATTTCAGGTGTATACCATGCTAACTTGATACATTTATACACTGTAATATGATTGCCATTGTAGCTATTGCTACATTATTTAGCTAATGCTAATTATTATTAGAACCTCTATCACATTACGTAATCTTTTTAGTAGTATTGAATAATGAAGTTCTAGTCTTTAGCAAACTTCATTATAATACAATATTGTCTATATTCACTGTACTGTAATTACTTCTTGCAAGTTTGTACCTTTATTATTTTTTTTAATGCTTATTTATTTTTGAGAGAGGGAGGGAGAGTGGGAGAGAAAGACACAGAGAGAGAGAGGCAGAAAGAGAGAGAAGGGGACAGAGGATCCAAAGCAGGCTCTGTGCTGACAGCAGAGAGACTGATACGGGGCTCGAACTCATGAAGCTTGAGATCATTGCCTGAGCCGAAGTTCGATGCTTAACCGACTGATCCACCCAGGTGCCCCATGTTTGTACCTTTAAACAACATCTATTCTATTGCCCTATTCCCCAATTCTTGGTGACCACCATTTCTGTCAGAAAGTTTTGATGCAGAATGGTGGGAACACCACCAAGAGCGAAACCTAGAGAGGCCCCAGTTGCAAGCAACAGGGTAATCAATTGGACCATCATGGCAGAAACAGTAGGGAATCTGATGTCCACACATTACTCACTCTGAATTCCACGAGGGGTCAAGTAGCGGCAGTGATTGCACCTGCCTCTAGCCATGAACAATGTGTGAAAAAGTTGAGGACTGAGAGCAGAGGACACCCAGATGGGATATGGAATGTCCTGTACAATAAGTCATTTATTGCAACCCGAAGCAGGAGACTATGAGAGGAGGAAGGAAAATAGTATTTGAAGAAATTGTATCTGAGAATTTATGAGAGTTGAAGAAAGTTTAGAGTCATCGGCATGTCAAACACTAAAATATATTTAAAACACACACACTGAAATACACACTAGAAAAATTTTAGAATACCAAGGATAAAAAGAAAACCCTAAGAACTAATAGAGATGAAATTTCGATTAATGACAAAAGTTTTGAGAATGAGATTGGAGTTAGACTTTTCATCAGCACCACTGGCTACAGGAAGACAATGAACCAGCTTCTTGAGTAGTTTGAACCTAGAATTCTGTACCAAACTCTGGCAAACTGTCATTCAGAATTAAAAGGCAAGTAAATACATTTTCAGATATGTCAGGACTCAGTTTATCTCCCCAAAATCTCTCTTAAATTATTAGAGGATTATAGTAAGAAGAAAAAGAAAACAAACTCTGTTGGAAGTAATTGGTACATAAGGCAATGATGAGGAAAACTAATAAAATATTATTAAGTATTGATCATTAAAATATTAAAAAAAAATTTGAACGAAATTCAACATATCAATATAGAAATTGATGAGGGGGAAGGGGACTAGAAGCGGAAGAAAGTAAACATTACAACAAAATGGGAAGCAGTGGGAATATTTTACTGGAAGTACAATAAAATATTCATATTAATATATTAATATAATTAGAATTGATATATTAATACTAATATAACATGTTAATATAATTAATATTAATATATTATACTAATATAACAAAAGTATTCTCCAGGGAGGCATTTCAAGAGTCCATGCACAGAAAAGGAGGGATAATAAAACAACCCTATACAGTGGTATATGTGAGAATAAAAATTTAAGATTCCAGATCCTGAGTCCTTGCTGCCAAACAGGAGGATGCAACTGGAGGAAGTAGACATTGACCAAGGGACAAAAATGAAACACTCTCAGACCAAAATGGAACACTTAGATTATATTCACCGTTCACATGAATGTAAGAACACTGTGGTGGGATAACATGGTACGGTGGTGTTTTATATAAATATTATCATGATTTTGCCCACATATTTATAGCTAACTTTCAATTCCTAATCTGTGCCAGCATCTAACTCACTCTGGATAAATTACACTGCTGCCTTCAGGAATTGTGCTTGTGTCATTCTGTCAGTTTATCTATAGGAATAGCCTCGAATACTCACTACTGTCTCTATCATAAAGGCACCATTCTCTGCATCACAACTCTTTTGGGTTCCTGGACCCAGTTGTAATGTGTGTGTGTTTGTGTGTGTGTGTGTGTGTGTGTGTGTGTGTGTGTGTGTGTTCATGCACACACACGTCCCCACAACAACAAGGAATTCCCTGGACACCTGGCTGAACATTCCAACACTCTAATCACTGCAGTTGCTTCCTCTGGTTGTCAGTCCCATCTAGGTTACCTAGGGCTTTCCAACAGTCACCTCATTAACATAACAAAAGACACCTTTATTGCTCTCTTATAGGAAATCCTAAGGATTTTAGGAGCTGTGAGCCAGGAAATCCGTGTACCAAGACCAACTTTATATAAGGATGAACGTGAATGACCAAATATATAATTTTATATTTCTTATAAATTACAGTATTGCATCAACTCTTTCTCCCTTTCTTCCTCTTTCTTTCTTTCTTGCTTTCTTTTTCTTTCTTTTTCTTTCTCTCTCTCTCTCCTCCCCACCACTTCCTGTTCCTTCCTTCCTCCCTCTCTCTGCCCTCCCTCCCTCCCACACTTCCTTCATTCCTTCCTTTCTTCCTCCTGTCTTTCCTTCCTTCCGTCCCTCTCCCTTTCTTTCTGTGTCTCTTTCTCTTTCTTAATGATGTTTGCTCAGGTTTTCCTGTAAGTGTTTTTCATGAACAATTGGTATGTTTTGTAAATAACCTTCAAATGACAAATGTCTATTACCTACATAACTATCTTCTAATAGCTAGCTGCTAGAATTTTAAAGCCAGATTAGGGGTAGTATGTACTGAATGTGCTAATGCTTCCCTCTATTTTCCTTAACTCATATTTTCCCTTCAGTTGTATTACCTCATTGATGACCTACCTTCCATTCTCAGTTACCATTGATTGTGAGACTGGTATATAATGCTGATTTAATAACACTCTTTAAATACCAAGAGAAACACCATCTCACTAAAATACATATCAATTTAAAGACAATTCCTCATTTTATAAATGTTAAATCAAGAAGAAAACTGTTTCTTTTAATCAAATATACCACCCTTAGCTTTTTACATGATACATATTTTTGTAAGGCAACTCAAATTCTTTGAAGTAGGGGACGAAATTAATTCTGTAAAGAATCCTATAGTTAGTTATTTCAGTCTCTGAAGAGAAGAGTAGCCTTAGTAGGCAGTTGTGTGTGTTTTGGAGGAGATAAATTACCAAGTTGGGATTCTTTAGTGCATAATGAAGAGTTGATTTATTCTAAAAATATCTTTTACATAAAGGCACATAATCACCACATTGCCATGTTCAAACAATAGGGTTTATATCCTGGCGATAAGAGGGAGGGGACTCTGGGCTTCACCTATTGCTTTGCTCTAGCTTTGGAAAAGAAGATGATTTTCTACTCACTGGACCCTTCGGTGATGTTGCTGGTAAATGAACTTTCCCCTGCTGAGCTGCATCTTTTGCCATCTTTGAATTGCTGCCTCCTTCTGGCCCACTGGTCTATTGCTTCTTCTTGGGAACCATCACTGGCCCTTGTACCTCTTGGAGCCAATTCCTGGGATACCTTGCGGAGGCTATTTATTTCCAGATTCCAATCTAAATTAAACCACATGAAGTATGAAAGTGAGACAATATTTCAAGACAGATTTTCAAATATCCCAGTCTGTGTAACAGAATCACTGTAGACTAGAACTAGAATAATTCATTTAACTCTTTCATGATTCACTTTTTAAACTTGTATTACTTAAAAACAAAACCAAAAAACCATACAGATTGAAGGCAGAGGATCACCATGCATTACCTCAGTTGGGTTCAATTCAATTGATAATCCTTGGGTACCAGCAATATTCCTGATATTATATTAGTTATTCTGGAAGAGCAAAGTTCACATAAACTGATAATTATGCCCCCTGAATTCTCAAAAAGAAGATATTACCTGAATTAGTTAAATTACAAAATATGATGATAAGTCTACTATTGTACTCAAATCCTTTATGGTTTAACTTCTATTAATCACAAGAATGCAAATTTCATGATACTTTTCTTGCTGCATATGTTGGTTTAAAATAAGGAACAGGGGAAAAAATCAAAAATGAATGAGGCTTTCATCATTTTACATTTGAATAAATAACTTGAAATACTTTACATAATTCCAAACTGCTGCCTTCTGTCATCATAAGCTGTGTATTGATTAGAAGCAAGAAAATTATAAATAAATTAATTGCAGTAAAATCAGACTGTAAATAAACAAGTAACAAAGTAAAATAAAATGAAACCAAAAATAGCAAAGCATGTAATACGTACTAAGTAATTCCATAGGCTGGAATTGGTTAAGATTTTACTTATTTTTATTTTTTGATACTATGTGAAAGGCAAGCAACATCAATTTAAAAAGAGGCCAAATATCAACCTATATTTTTATTCTATCCATTTTTTAAAAAAATTATTTATTTTGAGACAGAGAGAGAGAGTGAGCACGAGAGGAAGGGAAGCAGAGAGTAAAGGGGAGGGAGAATCCCAAGCAGACTCCACGCTGTCAGTGTAGAGCCCAACACAGGGCCCACTCTCATGAACTTTGAGATGGTGACCTGAGCCAAAATCAAGAGTAGGAAGCTTAACTGCCTGAGTCACCCAGATGCCCCTATTTTTATTCTATTCTAAGGAGCAAATGAGTTTTAAAATTCGGTCTTTGTAAATTAAAATCTGATTTATCAGTATCAAAATTTGTACTTAGAACTATTTAATAAATGGGATATATCCATGAATAAGTGGTTTTCTTTTATTCATTCATTCATGTTTATTTAGTTTTGAGAGAGAGAGAAAAAGAGAGAGAGAGAAAGACAGAGAGTGAGCAGGGGCGGGGCAGAGAGAGGGAGACACAGAATCTGAAGCAGGCTCCAGGCTCTGAGCTGTCAGCACAGAGCCTGATGTGGGGCTCAAACTCACAAACCATGAGATCATGACTTGAGCCAAAGTCAGATGCTTAACTGATTGAGATGCCTAGGTGCCCCAATTTTCTTTATTTTATATATAATTATTAATGATCCATTTGATCCATAACAATTTAAATTTCACTTGTCTGGGAGAAGTGGGAAGTAGGAAGAGCCATTATCTAATACCTTAATTTTCTATAACTCTGCTGTTGACCCCTATCTCTTCCCTAAGAAGTTAGAGGGGACAGAAAAATTACATTCATTTTATATTTACTATTGATTTTCTAGATATTAATTTCCACCCTTACTGGAGCTACAGCTATGCACAAGATTACTTTTTGCCTTCTGAATTTTACACAGTGGTGGACTTTTAAAGATGCTCTGGCTATTGTCTCCAATGATTGCTCTAGTTCCATTTGTTGAGATTTAGAGTCCAGGTCGACTCTGAAGGCATCATGAGATGAAGAGGAGAATTTTCTATATTTGAAAGCAATTCTTTTCCGAAATTGCTGGAGAAAAAAAAAAAGAAGTTCTATGAGCCTAGGAAACTGTGTGTAATAGAAGTATGGCCCTGTGATATCATGGAGAAAGTTTTCCTCTAACATTTTCTTAGGTACCTAAATGAAAAGAAAGTGTGTGCCCTACAGTATGTTTTGAAGAGTCATTTGAGAACCACTGTAATGCCCGCTGAGTGCAAAGCATCACTCCCATTGTCCTGCTTGGTGTCTATAGAATCTCAGGTGTGCAAAACTATTAGAAGGTAATTTGGTCTAATCATCTTCTAGATGCTTAAAACACTTCTATGAGATTTCTACCAAGTAGTTATTCATTCTAAGCCTGAACACTTCCCATACTCAAATGTATTACCTGTTTACTCCCTGAATCAGCATAATCCTTAAATATTTCAAACAGATAGAAAGTTTTTACTTGGTGAATTGAATCTATATCTCAGTAACCTTCATTCACATATAAGCTTCTTCCTCGTTCCATGAGTATCACTTGTTTACTGAGCCTTTCTAGGAATAAGGCAGTGTGCTTGGGGCTGGAACGAAGACACTCAAGTATCTTGAAGGACTCTATTAAAATACACACCATCACTCTGTAAGAACAATATGTTAACCCATTAAAAGACACACTAATGTTTTATCAAGCATGAGTTTAAAAATAGAAAGCTGTTACTTTGGAAGCCAAAGGGTGGTCTACCAACTGAGATGGAGACCAAGGAGAGGAAGATGGTCAGCTGGGAGAAGCCCTGCTGGAAGAAGGCACAGGCATTGAGGCTGGACCCTGGATCTTGGGCCCTGGATTTGCTCATCTACTGAGAAATGCTGAAATGGGTGCCAGTGTGGTAAGTTCCCAGTTTCACTAAAAGTTAGCTTGTTGGAAATTATCCCAAAGGTTGCATTCTGCTACAAGAAAAGGAGTATTTTCTTTATTAATCTTTTTATGTCTAGAGCTTGGCATGGACCTTGGAACCACAAACTTTCTCAGAGCTGCCATACTCTATACCATTTGCCTTGGTGTTAGCTTCTAGGATCACTCTTTCCTTGCAACACAGCCAGTTAAACTATCTTAAACATACATGTAAGTTTTATGTCATATGTAAAGGGCTATTTAATTGTAAATATTTCTATGCCATGTAAATGTCATTTAATCCTTCTCATTCTCTCCTTGTCATTCTCTCAGAGTACCCTAATTTTTGTTTCTTCATTAAAATATATTATGATATAGAATTTTGGTTCTTTGGCAGAGTTCTTAAAGATACATTTCAGTCCATTTACCGCTGAAGAAATGAGGCCCTGAGAAACTTCTTTACCCAAGAATGTATAGACTTGACTTGGCAGAGGAAGAACCCAGAATTTAGTTTTAAGAGTTTCAGACTGGTACCCTTTCCTTTATATCACTGTTATGTTTTTGTTTTTGTTTTTTTTATACCTTCCACCATCTACCCATCCCTACCTGCTCTCTTCTGTCTAGTTCAGAGATCATAGACTGTTTAGTCTATACTTTGTCTTAAAAAGTCTTATGGTAGGGGCGCCTGGGTGGCTCAGTTGGTTAAGCGGCCGACTTCAGCTCAGGCCATGATCTCGCGGTCTGTGAGTTCGAGCCCCGCGTCAGGCTCTGTGCTGACAGCTCAGAGCCCGGAGCCTGTTTCAGATTCTGTGTCTCCCTCTCTCTGACCCTCCCCCATTCATGCTCTGTCTTTGTCTGTCTCAAAAATAAATAAACTTTAAAAAAAAAATGTCTTATGGTATAGAGACTCATATATATACATACATATGTATATATATGTGTATATATGTATATATATGAATATACATATATATAAATTCAAAAATAACTAAATATTTATAAAATATTATAAATATATTTATTATAAATACAAAAGTTCAGATCTCCAGCTCTCTTGAAAAACCAAAAGACCTGGCTGTACTGGACCTGTATTCTCATTCCCTCAGGATAGAGCTCCCTCTAGGTCACCAACACTCCATTATTTCTCACATAGCCTGCTTTACTCATTTACATGATCTTCCTGGCTCCTGTAAGCAGTCCAGATTGTGACAGCTAATCTAGGTAATTCGCAAGCACACACACAGATGGGAGGAAGGAACTACATAATACAGATCTTCTTCGACTTATGATAGGGTTCTGTCCTGATAAACTCATTGTAAACTGAAAATGTCGTAAGTCCAAACTGCATTTAATGCACCCAACCTACTGAATATCACAGCTTAGCCCACTTTACTGTAGGTGTGCTCAGAATACTCACTTAGCCTACAGTTGGGCAAAGTCCTCTCACACAAAACCTCTTTTATAACTAATGAACAAGATTACCTCTTGCCTTCTTTGAATATCTCACATAATTTATTGAATACCATACTGAAAATAATAGAATGGCTATATGGGTTCAGAATGGTTTTAACCTTGTGACCATGTGTCTGCTGGGAGCTGCGGCTGCCATTGCCCAGCGTCAAGAGAGAGTGTGGTGCCACAAAGCACTAGTTGGGAAAAGATCAAAATCAAAATTTGAAGTACAGTTTCTACTAAACATATATCCCTGATGTACCATCCTTAAATTGAAAATTTTACATTGAACTACTGTAAGTCAGGGACTGTCTGTATTATAGTCAGCACTCATGGTAGGCATTCTTAATCTGAGGTATGTGGATAGAATCTGAGGAGTTCGAGGACCCTTCTGAAAAGTTAGGCATCAGTTTATGCCTATGTCAAATTTATAATTTTCTAGTGCAACAGTATAAAGATGTTCTCGTTCCTCAAAGCAATCCACACCCTGAAAAGATTATAAAATCCTGGCCTGAAGTATCAAGAGTATAATAACAACAATATTGAATAAAGTATAAAAATAACGCTCTAGGAGAGTCAAGTCTGTGCAAAAATTTATAGATTTAAATGTCCTTTAATACAAACATTTAAATTTCTGAAGCATTTCCCTATTTTTTGTTTGTTTTTGTATGTGAAAATAGAGTGTTGCACAAGGAAACATGATATGAGTTCCCTGAATTCTTTCGTTCAGCAAATATCCATGGAGTGCCTACTCTATAGGACAGGCACTGTTCTGGTGTTGTGGATACAGCAATGATCAGAACAGAAAAAAAAAAAAAATCCATGCCCTCATGACTACATTGTTGTGGGAGAAGACAGAACAAATAAACTAGTAAAATACATGGTATATTAAAAGGTGGGGTTACCTAGGTGGCTCAGTCGGTTAAGCACCAACTTTGCTCAGGTCATGATCTTGGGTTCATGGGTTCCAATCCTGCATCTGGCTCTCTGCTGTTAGTGCAGAGCCTGCTTCAGATCTTCTCTCTCTGTCTCTGTGCCCCTTCCCTGTGCTCTCTCTCAAAATAAATAAACATTAAAAAAAAGAAGGTGAAAGTAGTGTGTATAAAGTAAAACAGAAGAGGGATAGATTACACCTGGGCTGGAATGGACAATGCTCCAGTTGCAGTTTTCTTTCTTTTTTAGTTTTTCCACATTAAAATTTTTTTTTTTTACTTATTTTTGAGACAGAGAGAGAGAGAGAGAGAGAGAGAGAGAGAGAGACACCAAGCAGGGGAGGGACAGACAGAGAGGAAGACACAGAATCCGAAGCAGGCTCCAGGCTCTGAGCTGTCAGCACAGCCCAACATGGGGCTTGAACTCATGAATCGTGAGATCATAACCTGAGCCAATGTCTGATGCTTAACTGACTGGGCCCCCCAGGTGCCCCTCCAATTGCAGTCTTAAGTTGAGTGGTGTGAGAAGGCCTCACTGAGAACTGAGAAGGTACCATGTCGAAAACTTCAAGGGATGAGAATGAACAATGTGGGCAAATGGGGGAAGAGTGGTCTAGGTAGTGGGAGCAGTCCAAGAAAAGGATGTATTGTAGGATCTTGCCTGGCAGGTTCTAGCAACTCAAAGAAGTCAATGTGGCTGCAACAGAATGATCCAGGGGAAGAGGAGTAAAGGGGCAAAAGGGAGAGTTGTAGGAACACCTTTTGATGAACCACAGTAACAGGGAACTGGTAGCTGCAATTGTTCACCAAATGAGACAACCTCAAAGTCTGTTGAAGTACAGCATCAGCTCTGGGGGAATTACAACTTGAATTATTAACTTACAAGGAAATAGGCCTTGTTGGGGGAGGCAGTCCAGGGAGGAGAATGACCATGGGGGAAGGAGAGCCAGCCTGGGAGGGAGATTTATTCATGTGAGCAACACATCTGTTCTGGGAGACACAAGGGCTCTTATTTCAGGTCTGCCTCTTGCTGACTCAAGTAATTATGGACTGAAGAAAACATTGGGGTTAATGCCATTGATCCGGTTATCTGGGGGTATGTCGGCGCTGGGAAGCAGTCTCTGTGACTGATGGATCTTTGCTTTAGGGTGTTCATATTAAGCAGGTGACCGTACAGCATTTGCATTGTTTTAGGACACTTATCCTCTATACAGTAAATTCATGTTTTATACCAATGTTTACATAACTGTGCTTTCTGTATTTTATTTCTACTTCTAAATTGTATTAATTCTATTTAAAAATTAGGGATGGAACAACAAAGAAGAGATAGTTTCATCATTCCAAGTCTCATTTCTGGACATATCAGGCATGTTACTGGAGGTTTGGAAGGAAGTTTTTGCTTGTTCAAGATGTATTTTAATATATAATGTGGAATAATGCTAACATAGAATGTAAAATATTTATGACAGGGCGCCTGGGTGGCACAGTCGGTTAAGCGTCCGACTTCAGCCAGGTCACGATCTCGCGGTCTGTGTGTTCGAGCCCCGCGTCAGGCTCTGGGCTGATGGCTCTGAGCCTGGAGCCTGTTTCCGATTCTGTGTCTCCCTCTCTCTCTGCCCCTCCCCCGTTCATGCTCTGTCTCTCTCTGTCCCAAAAATAAATAAAAAACGTTGAAAAAAAAATTTTTTTTTAATATTTATGACTTATTGAGGAAAAACAATAAGGGCCTTCTGTGAAGTGACCAAAATGATAGAATGTCGACCCAAGATTGAAAGCAGATAGGGCAGTATTATGTACTTAGAAAAGAGCTTCTATTTTAGCCCTCTTGAGGTCTGGAGAACTGCTGGGTTCTATCAATGTTTTGAGCAGGGTCAACCAATGCACAAGGGAGGACAGAGGTCTGCTTGAGGTCTGACACCCCATAGATAGCTCAATCAGGATTAGCCATGGCCGTTTCTGGTTTTTGTCCTTTGCTTTGATTACTATTCCACATGGTCTCCTGAAATATGTATACCATCCTTCTGCAACGCCACAGCAAGGTTTAAGAACACATTTTATCAAAAACATATTCTTTCTATTATAAATATGCTTAGTTTGCAAGAAGGAAAGAAATGGTAGATTATTTAAGACTGGCAAAAGGCTAACGTTTCCTACAAAATTGATTTGGCAATACATCAACCTTTTAAAGAGAAATTGATTTTTTAAAAACTTTATATTAAACCGCAGCCTGGGTGATTTTGTTATGCACTATTTATGGGTGGGGTAGGTGATAATGTAAGGAAGCAGGGTGATATATGCTTGCCCATATTCATCTAATTCTAAAATACTCAATATATCTTTAGCAATAAAGCAAAAATCCCAAGCAATAAAAAAAGCCCTCACGTTAAGACTTTCCAAAGCTCAAACATGGAAAAACAATGAAAGTTAAAGATTCTATATAGCCACTGTACCTGTCAAGGCTTTCTGCTTCCGAGGCGACAGCAATATGTCTATTTGGTGATAGTAAGTTTCCTTTGGGTCATTTTTATCTCCTTCACAACCTGGCTTTGTTGATGCAATCCTTTGGTACTCTGCTGGCTCCTCTTTAAAACTGGTTAGTCCGAGGCCTTTGTCATCTTGGTTGCCATATTGGTCTGCATCATTGGTCAGTGTCTTCTCAATAAACAGATTATCTGCAGCACATTCTGTGCAGTTGAACTCAGTGGTGTTCGGCAAATCCATTTGGAAACAGACTTCATTGTGGTTCTCATTTGATAGGCCTTCAAAATCTCTATGGCATGCATTCTTTACCACTGGCATTATTTCGAATTTGTCTTTTTCACCATTTCCCAGGGAGCTGGGTGAGTCTTTAGGATTTTTTATTCCCATGGGACAATTAGAATAAACCGTGCCTCCTTTATCATTATGAATAATTAATCTTTGCTCTAATTCATCAGTTATTAAGGTCATGACTAGCTCTGTTGTTTTGCTGGGCACTGCTATCTCTGGATGACCTGTCTGGGATTTTGTTTGACTCCATTCCACAGTGCTATGGCTGTTCCTGTTGAGTGGGCTGCTGGCAGAGAGGCTGCTGGAGGATTCAGGACTGAGAGTTGGACATCGTGTACTCTTCATTTCCAGTAGTTGCTGTGCGTTTGTACGAGAGTCACTATGTAAAGCAGCCTTGTTAAAGTCTCTGTCAGTCATATCAATATGCTTTTCCTCACAGGTTTTCAAAAGTTCAGCACAATGATTAAAAGAAAATGTATCCCCAGGGACTTCTTTCACTTCTGATTGTCTGGTGGCCCAGTGGGATGGGCTGAATGAGGTGGAAGGCTTCAGAACATTTTGACTGGAAGGCAAAGATAAAGAACTTGATTCCTCACAACAATCTGCAGTTGGAATTTTGCTGCCTTTGCAATAAGTGCTGGCTGCTTTTTCTCCTACCACTTGCCTGCTCAGAGAAGATGAAGAACAGAAGTCAGAATCTTTGCCATCTTGAACTGGGAAGATGTCAGTAATGGCACTTGGCAAATAATTTATTCCTTCTGGGCTTTGCCGTGTACATGAGTCTGATGTGATATTTTCTGGTATATCGAAGACGAGTTTTCTCTCTCTATCCACATCCTTCAGATCCTCAAAAGGCATGCTACTTAAGTCTGTATCACTTAAACTTGTGGTCTTTAGGGTACCTTGTGAAATAGGAGGAATGTTTTTGAGAAGAGTCTCAACCTCAGAGAAATTTTTCTTGTTGAGGATGTTCTGACCAATTTTAAAGTCCTTCTGATGAGACATGGCAGATTCTACCTCACAGTCATCTAAAACTGAAGATAGTGAGTCAGGCTTAGTCTTCTCCCTCACACGGGTTGAGCACAGAAACTCCACCTCTCTATCAACATTCTTCTCCTTCTGGACGGCACACACAATAGGAGGAGAGACATGAAAACAGTCTGAACTCTGATGCTTGTTCTCAAGCTTCCACTTTTCAGGGCACCTAATATCAGACTGTAGAGAAGACCTGGAACATTCTTCAGTAGTGTGATTGGAGGAAATGTTTCTGTATTTAGCTCTTTTCCCCCTTCTTTTAGGATAAGCTATATTAATTAATATATTCTGTTTCTTACTCATGTATTTAACTTTAACTTCTTTGCCTACAATGCTTACTTTTAGTGAAGGTCTCCCTTTTCTGGCAACTTCTCCTTCAGATTCAGATGGCACCTCAGGTTTTAGTTCTTCTACTAACATATTCCTGTATATAGAAGAGCAGCTTCTAGAAGTATAGTTTCTCTGACTGTGTCTGGAAAAGTAATGCTGATGACATTTTGGACATCTCCTTTTTGTTGGGAACTGCATTCCTGTTTTACAGAAAAATCTATTCTTGATTTCTACTTGCACACTGAAAGCCCCACATTTCACTTCTGTAATAATTTTGCCTTTTGCTGGTTTAAAGGCTTCTACTGTGTTTGGGAAATCCTGCAGTATGATTTTTTCTGATAATGATTCTTTACAGTCATTAAACATGGCCACTGACAACACTTTGTCTCGTTGATGAGAAATGGATGATGGAGGATCATCATTCTCCTTCTCCCTACTTATTTTGCTGTCAGATGAAAGTTGTTTATTATCTTTAGGGAGGAAAAGTGAATTCTGTTTTCCATTCACAGAAGCAGATGTATGCTCATCTCCATTTTCCTTAGATTTCCTTAACGCCCTAATCTGATGAAACTTGGCTTCTGGGGTGTCTCCTTTGACTTCCTTTTCAAGATCTTTTATATTTTTTTGGTATACCTGATTAGCAGGTTGAGGTTCACCTAAACAAGAAGAAAAAAAAAAAGGAAGAAAGAAAGAAGAAAAATATTTTCTGTGTCCTTTTGAAGAGCAGATGGGATGCAAATTCTTGGGTACAATTCCAAGCATATTCTTTGTAATTTGAGTAACATTTTTCATTCATTTCTAGTATGCAAAGATATTTTCCACAAAAATTCATTTCTAATAAATATCTCCTTTTAAATAAATTATCTTAGAATACAGAATATTGCTAGGTAGTTCTAGGAAATAAGAATGTAATCAAAGTTTATTCTAAAACAGAGACTTCCAGGGGTGCCTTGGTGGCTCAGTCAGTTGGGAGACAGACTTCAGCTCAGCTCATGATCTCGTGGTTCAGTTCATGAGTTCAAGCCCTGCTTCAGGCTCTGTGCTGACAGCTCAGAGCCTGGAGCCTGTTTTGGATTCTGTGTCTCCCTGTCTCTCTGCCCCTCCCCCACTCATCCTTTGTCTTTCTCCCAGAAATAAACAAACATTAAAAAAAAAAAATTAAAACAGAGACTTCCAAAATGGGTGAAATGAAAATTTCAGAGCAAACTTATGCAAATAAATTTTGAGACTTCTTGATAAAGAGTAAGTTACCATGTTCAAGTATTTGAACATGGCATTATAATGCTACAGGCTAACTCAAGCCTGATCTAATTTGAGAAGGTACAACAAATAAAGAGATCCAAGTATGGGTTATAAACAGCCTTTTAAACAGGTCTGATAGTTACCTTCGCCCAGGGTAGGATTGTTGTTTTTTTTTTTTTATTTTTTATTTTTATAGGACAGAGAAGGTATCCTAGTATTGTCAGATACTATCATTTTCCAGGAGAAGAACTAGAGTCTGGATTTATTATATTGTGAAATCTCCTAATTTCTAAGGATGGTCTCACATTTTAAAAAACCATCTATAGATGGAGGCTAATATATTTAGGGACCAGCTTTGGCCCTAGAACTGCCAGCTGGCAAGCTTTACTCTCTACTTTATAATTTTAGGATGTTTTGCTTAAAAAATTTGTGAACCTGAGCTTGAGGTAGCAGATCTTAGGTAAAAAAAAAAAAGTGAACATGGGTGTGGGAGGGAGGGGAGGGTGGGTGATGGGTATTGAGGAGGGCACCTGTTGGGATGAGCACTGGGTGTTGTATGGAAACCAATTTGACAATAAATTTCATATTAAAAAAATAAAAAATAAAAATAAAATGTATACTGTTTAACTCTTAAACAGTGAACAAAACGCAAAGATCTCATATCTTTTAAACTATATCTGAAAGAGAGTATTGGGAAAGGCAAAGAAAGAATGGGCAACAAATAGATAGTGATGTCATGGAAATCTATGAACCAGGTCTCCACAGAGATAATTTTAATCAGGTGATTAAGCTAAAAGTTGGAAAAGATTATTTATAATTATTATTTTTTTAATGTTTATTCATTTTTGAGAGAGAGAGGCAGAACATGAGCTGGGGAAGGGGAGAGAGAGAGAGGGAGATGGAGAATCTGAAGCAGGCTCCAGGTTCTTTGCTGACACAGGGTTCAAACTCACTAACCATGAGATCATGACCTGAGCTGAAGTCAGACGTTTAACCGACTGAGCCACCCAGGCGGCCCTCTAATGATTTAAAATGCTTTTTCAATTTGGCTATGAAGCTATGATTTTATATATACCTACATATTTTAGTAAAGATATTTATAAAAATACTTACATAAAGAGTAAAAAATTATCATTAATGAGAAAAAGAACAACATCCTACCAAAGTTTGGCTAGAGGTGGCATAGAAGTATGGGGTGCAGAAATAGAATTGCTGTTTCAGAATCAAATAAAGATTCGTAGGTTTAGGAATCACAACTTTCCAACTTTAGGTTCTCAAACACGCTGGGGTTCCACTGAGTTACCATTTGCCTCTCTTCTAGTCTGAGGGAATGGCTTTTCTCAAGGCAAGTACTGAAACAGTTCCCAGTGGTCTGCTTACAATCTGAGAGCCGTAATGCAGAAATCATGGAAGAAAAGACATGGAAACATGTCTCTCTAAAGCCTATTTATAATACACCATGTATACTATAGCAATTTATATACTAGTGGACTGCCTTCCAAAACTATAGATTACAATTTATTCTTAAAATAACACCCTCACTCCAAGAACAGTTCAGTTTATAGACTTTTTCAATTTTATAATTTTACAGTTTATAGCCTCTTTCAACTGACTGTAGTTCAATTTCTATGAGTAGCAAGACAGAACTGAGATAGTTATAAAATAATCCACTGATAACAGATTCTAAGAATAGAATTCTTCATATTCTTTGTCTGAATATTTTTATTTAAATTTTTATTCATAATATATGCCATTAATAATGAATGCAGATGTTTATACATAACAACCGATCAAACTTCTAAATCATTTTATTACACTTCTATGCATTTGTCTTCCTACTTTTATAGACATTCTGTGATACACAAAATACGTAGCTGGGTTCATTTTATATATACTTATAAAACCAATGAATTAGACTTACATACTGTGGGATTCAGGATTTTCCATTTTTTATAGGCTTTTCTTCTTTTCCTCTTCATTTTGGGGAGCTGAGCATCTTCAGCTTTCGCTGTCCTTTAAAAGCATAAAATGCAAAGTTATTTTCTACTCAGAATTAGGTTTAGTAAAATTCCTAACAACTCATTTGCCAGCTTGAAACATAATATCATTTTCGGGTATCCAATAGTGTTCTCCTTTTTTTTTTTTTTTTAATTTTTTTTTCAACGTTTATTTATTTTGGGGACAGAGAGAGACAGAGCATGAACGGGGGAGGGGCAGAGAGAGAGGGAGACACAGAATCGGAAACAGGCTCCAGGATCTGAGCCATCAGCCCAGAGCCTGATGCGGGGCTCGAACTCCCGGACCGCGAGATCATGACCTGGCTGAAGTCGGACGCCCAACCGACTGCGCCACCCAGGCGCCCCAATAGTATTCTCCTTCAAATATATTTCATTACTATAATTATATTTTCTATCCTGTTTAATTCTACTTAGCCAATTTTCATCTATGCCAACTATTTAGAGTCCATTATTATATACCATGTGAATATTCAAACATATATTTCTTCATATGTGTAGATATTTAGGATGTAAGTTATAAAATTATATTCTGCTTCATTGATTATTTTTATACTCTAACTTTTCTTAGCCTAATAGAAATATCTATTTTTTGTGAAGTTGACCTAAATTTATTATCATCATATTTGTAGCCCTGCTAAATTAAGTAGGGTAGGGAGATTGTTTGCCACCATTACATTATCTCCATATACCCTATATTTAAATAAAAGATTAGATACACACTCTATAGTCTCTGTAGAAGAATGAATTATTTGTAGAAGATAAAATTAATTCTGTACCTTTCTTGTGGAACAAATGGTATTTTTCCTGTTGATGATGTCTTAATAAAAAGTATTAGGGAAGATACTTGGGAGAGACACAGCCTATAACTTCCCCACTATCACCTCAGTAGTTATCTGCCTGTGCTTAGAGCTAAGCCTGATTCAGTTGCTTTCCTTTTAGAGGATTAAACTGTCTGCAGAGATGTGAAGAGAAATAGCTTCACTCTAAAGCAGTTTGTTTTGCGTGTATTAGGTAGACTGTGCCTTTGGACACCTCAGCAGAACAGCTCAACTTTTATCTGTTTTACAGGTAACTCAAAAAAAAAAAAGGGGGGGGGCTGTTTTGTGACCAGTTTTGGCAAATTTTATTTAAATTCTTCTTAACTCATCTCTCTCCTCAAAATCCTCTATATCATTGTATGTGATGATTTCAAATCACTTTTCCTCTAGAAACTCTCAAAATCTCATAATTTTCTGAAAATTCTTTTTCCTGAGGCAACCTTTTTTATACAGAGCCATTGACACTCTTTTGGCGTGTTCCAATTATCCTTTCTATTCTCTCCCCCAGTATGCACAATGAAGTTCCTATGGCTGACTAAGCAAGCAATAATCCTTTATTCTTAGAAGACCAACATGGGGGTTGGGTGGGGGAGAGGATTACAAACATGTAATTAATATCTTTCTTTTTTTTTTTAATCCCTGTCTTATACATAAAGGGTTTTCTAATCTAAAAAAAAATGCTTCAAAAGCACTTGACTGGGTTATTGATTATTTCTCTATGGTCCCATATAGTTTGAACAACGAAATGTAGGCGGCTGCACTGTGTTTAGTACAGAGTACTCTGGGCTTTGACTCAGAAGATCTTGGTTGTGGTCTGGCTCTGCTGTTTACTCAGGGCAGGTCATGCAATTTCTGTGAGGCTGTTTCCTTTGCCTCTGAGATGGAAATGGTAGCAAATTTCACCTTACAGAATTGTCTTGAAGAAACAACTGAAATGTGTGATAAATGGTTCCAGTCAAACCTCATCATTCTTAACTTTATATTGGAGAATACATACATATCTGTTAGACACACGCATTTGTATTGAGCACCTGACATTGGGAGAATATCTGTCACGTCCGAGCTGCAAATGAATGCTTAGATAAAGCTGATCAAACCATAAACTCTTTTTGAGCCAGGATATCTAAATGTTCAAGATCATCACATTCAAAATTCTCATTTTGCAGGGGAGAAGCTGATACTCAGAGAATCCTTGTTTCCTGTATCACACTAATAATGGCAATTGAAGACTAGAACCCAGGCTGTTGGGACTTAGGCTAATTCTGTCTTTGAGCAGATATACAAGGTATATAGATGCCCTGAGATTGCTTCTGATCATACAGAGCAAATTTTATAATTAGTTTGCACTTTACCTCAGAGCATGACAACTTTGATCCAGGAAATTAAACGTACTGCTGAATATTGAATATTCAGGCACAGTGCCTGACACAATAGGCACCTAATAAATATGTATGACCAAGTGAATTAGATGGATAGCTCAGTTTGTATCAAATTATGTTTTTAATGATGTCTTCTTACATTTCTGAATGTATTCTTTCCTTTTACTGTGCATTAATTTGTTGATCATTAATAAAAGTCTATTTTAAGAAGACCTTTTTTTAAAGTTTATTTATTGATTTTGAGAGACAGAGCATGCACGTGCAAGCTTGCATGGACACAAGCGGGGGAGGGGCAGAGAGAGGGAGTGAGAGAATCCCAAGCAGGCTCCTTGCACTGCCAGTGCAGAGCCCCACACAGGGCTCAATCCCACAAACTCTGAATCCCTGACCTGAGCTGAAATCAAGAGTTGGACACCTAACTGACTGAGCCACCCAGGTGCCCCAAGATCAACTTTAAAATAAACACACTGGGGCGCCTGGGTGGCTCAGTTGGTTAAGCGTCCGACTTCGGCTCAGGTCATGGTCTTGTGGTCTGTGAGTTTGAGCCCCGCATGGGGCTCTGTGCTGACAGCCTGGAGCCTGTTTCAGATTCTGTGTCTCCCTCTCTCTCTGACCCTCCCCCTGTTCATGCTCTGTCTCTCTCTGTCTCAAAAAATAAATAAACGTTAAAAAAAATAAAATAAATACATTGCTTGTCTTTTTCCCCACTAGATATCTCTTGCTCTGTACTTCCGTAAGAGGTACCTAAGATAATGGTAGTGACATAATTGATATATAATTGATACAAGTCACACAAGCAGTCTTGGGGGGGAGGGTGGTCTACAAATTCTACTTTACTTAAATGGCAGCAAATATTTCCCTCATTTGATGGTTAAACAGGGTATAGCTGCAACAACATGGTCTAAACTGAGCTTGAACAAAATGAAGAGTGGGAGAAGGTGTTCCTAATAAATCTATTCACAGGGAGGGTGCTTGCTTAGGACACCAGAAAGCAGGGGCACCAAAGTTTTAAAAGATTAAAGAATTTGATATTTGATATTTCAAAAACTTCGGAGCAGTTATCAGTGGGAAAATCAGAATATTGTTGGATTTCCTTACACATGGTGTAGAATTTTTAATTTCACATAGAGACATCACAATCGTTCCAATGCTTTCCTACAATGATTTAATAATATTTGCATATTTCCTATCTCTAAAACAAGTATATCACACTTGTTTTTCTAACCTCCAATCCCTTCTCTTCTTCCCATGCTCTCCTTGAAGATCAGGACACATGATCAGAGGAAATAGAAGCCAACTGAAATTCTGCTTTCCATTACTAAAACTGCCAACTTCTTTGATTTGCATCAGATACTATCAAATCTCTCTTATGTGGAAGATGAAATGGGCCTAAGGACCATTTTCCTGCAGTCATTCCCCTCCTCTCTTGCAGTGGCCATTTCTGTCTTCTGTTACATCATTCTTGTGTCAGAGTACAGACATTCCCTCACCACTCCATCTATTGTCACATGCCTCTCTTCACCTTTACAGCAACACATCTTGAAGGAGTTGCCTATATGTTCTGATTCTTCTTTCTCTCCTCACATCATTTCCCAAACCCACTCCAAGCAGTCTATTAAGTTCCCACCCCGTTGGGATCACTCTTGTCGCAGTCACCAGTGACATCCATATTGCCAACGCCAGTAGTCACTTCTCTGTGGTCAGGTTATTCACACTTTTAGCAGAATTTGACACAATCATTCTATTCTTCTTTACTCCTTTCTTTAGATTCCATGGTGCCACACTCTCCTGGTCCTTGTCTTGCTCCACTGACCATTCTCTCTTAGACACTTTTGCTGGGTCTTCCCTTGCTCAGTCTCTAATCTTTGGCATCCTCAGGGTTCTTTGTGCCTTTTCATGACCTCTCTCCCTAGGAAATCTCAACCATTTCATGGCTTTAAAACTATCTATATAGATGATTCTAAAATTCATAGTTCTACCCCTAACTTATTCCCCAAAGTCCAAGCTTAAATATCCAACTGCCAAACTGACATATCTACTTAGGTGTCTAGTTGGAATCTCAAATTTTTCATGTTCCAGAATGACCTCTTGATGTTCTCTGCCTTCTCCAATTATTCCCCTGAATCCCAAATCTTTCTAATCTCAGCCAACAGCTTCACCATCTATCTAGCTCAAATCACGTACCTAGGTATCAACTTTGACTCTTCTCTTTAACTTACTTTCCTCATCAAAACCATCAGCCAGTTTGCCCCACACTATTTTAAGTATCTTATCCTTAGTATGTCCATTTATTTTCTTCTCCTTGCTACCACCCAAGTCAAAACCTCCCTCTTTCTCTCTTTCTATATGTGTATATCTACGTGTGTAAGTGTATACGTGTGAGTATATATACATATATATATATATGTAGTCCATATTTTAAAAATATATATTTATATATATTCATAAGTATGTACATATTATATATATATTTAAAATCTGGACCAATGCAATATCTTTCTAACTGCTTTTCTCCCATATTTATATCCTTTGATTATTCATATAGCCTGCAGTTTTTTTAAGTATATAAATTAAATCATGTCATCCCCTGTTTAAAATTCTCTAATGGCCTCTCCTTCTACTTTGGAAAAATTCTAAGCACTTTAGTCTTTTTTTTTTTTTAACACATATGCACAAAGTACAATTTTATTCACAAGTAAAATATACCACCACTAGACCTTGGGATGTATATTTAGGTATCCATTCCATTATAGACTTCTTGGATTTATATTTTTCATAAATGTTTATTTGTTCTGTGT